ATTGCTTTTCTCTGAAATCTACGAATTCTTTTTTTGCACTTTCACTCAGTGCCGAGGGTTGCATGGAATGAGTAGGAGACACGGAAAATCTCTTCTGAGTAGTTTATTTCTCACTCTTAATTTTCTCGAAGTTTTCCGTCATTTTTTATTAATTAACGTTTCTACTATATAACTTGAAGTAAATTAGATTAGAGCCGAGAAAGAGGGCGAAGGGGAAGCAGTAGGAACCCTTTCATCTGGTTTTTTCGTAGTCGTGATTTACTTCAAGAAAATCGGAATTTCAGCATCAGCGTTTGCGTTTGATTAACTGATATAATAAGCATGAAAAAAGCGAGATTTTAAAATTCTGGTTCATTCGCTAGTCTTCTGTTGAGGAACTTTTATACGCATCTGAGAACGGATTGGAAAAACTGTGAAATCGACTACTGTTTGCGTTTTGTAGCTCTAATTTTCATCTATGAGCGGCGCGGTTCAGGGATTAAAAACCAGTTTAGTTTTTTTAAATTTTTCTTTTGTGTTGTCATTTGTACGCTATCGCGCTTAGCTGTCGAGCTCCTATCAATTTTCTCATCGTTATCAGAAATATGTTATCACGAACGTATGACGGGGCAACTGCCGCCTGAATTTTTGTCTCTTTTGGCAGTAGCGAAACCCAACTTTAATAATACCTGCCAGCGAAAGGGATTGTGAAACTCGGTGTAAAGAACGTTTGAATTGCATTGTGATTGTATCACAACTATATAATTTTTTTTTAATTACCAGTTTTGTTTGAAGAAATTTCTGGTTTTTATGGTCATTCTCGTTTTTCCCACGGCTTACAGTGATATTTTCAACAGAATCAATTGACAGCGCAACTGTCATGCTGATGAAGTGCAGTTGTGGTTTTCAACAGGAATGTATACGATATCAAGGACCGAAACATTCCTGTTTAGCTGTTTAATTTCAATTTCATGCTATATTTTTTAAGTTTACTAAAATAAATCTCTAAAACATTTTCAACAAAAAAAGTTGTATTTAGTTGTGATGTGTATGAGAAATTTAAAGTTGCATAAAATTATATTAAAAAACTTGATGAACAGGATTGTTTCATCCCAATAAGTTAAAACATATACGATAATAAGTATAATTTCCTGTGCGACGAACTCCGGGCACATCTTTTGCGGGTAATTTCTGCGGCCGCTGAGCGCAGATGGAGTGGGAATTACAAAAACAGTCGAGGAAACCTAACTGCATCTAGCCCTTCTCTCGAACGCGCAGACTACAGGATCGCTAGAAAGATACAGACTTGCAGCTAGCGTATTTCAGCTACAGAAGCCGTGATAAGGGCTGGTTGCTACATCGATGACGCAGAATTGCGAGGCGATAAAACATTGGTTGAGCGTAATTTCCAGACTCGTGCCACTGAATAGTGGTGTCCCCACTCCCCCAGCCTGTATTTCCCTCTTTCCCGCTGTATTTATATACGTATTTGTTAAAAATTATTGTCATAAAACTGGTTTTGATTTTGAAGGGAACAGTATCTGGCCTATTCTGATTGTCAGCGCATTGCAGATTCACAGTGATGTGTGCACATCCTACAACGTACGACACAACAGTATATTGATTAATTTACCGAAGCTGAACAATTTTTTACCAGTATATCTTTTTATGCGTTTTTGCATATTTTTTGTAATTGCAGAAGCTCATATTGGCAAGCTACTTATCATTTTCCGTCTTGCTGCCTGCCTTTTCGTAGCTTGAATTCGGGACTTGAGTTTTTCTTCTTCTGCCTACAAAATTTCATAAAATTTTTGAAAGACTTATCTTACAACGAACTTTACGGTTGGGATAGCGTTGTCCGACAACTGCGGACTGTGGCACTCATTGTTCTCGCATGATGTATACCGGGTCCATCCTGAGAGATCGTTGCCGGGGGTTGCTCGCTGCATATCGTCCGATTGTCGTCGTTATTGTCGCCTTGCTTATCGAGTATTATTTGTGAGCCTGTATTTTGGTCAGCTTAATGCATTTCATGTTGGCAGCTTATATGTTCAATTGTATCCTTTCAATATTTCTCGCTTCTGGAAGTGTTGCACTGCGCGATTGTCTTGCTATTTTGGATCAGTACACACCCGACACCATGCGCTGCTCCTTTTTTTTCCTGCTGTAAATGTCTCTCTTTTAGTGCTCCGTTAAATCGGTGCGCCTCTCCTGGCGATGGACAGCGTCTGTTCATCATTTTTTCCCTCCCTTTCGCACTCGCCCTCTTTCCCGTCGCTCCTTCGTTCTTTGTTTTTTTGATCAAGTAAACTGACCACAATTTTCAATTGCATCGCCGACCCTAGGGAATTCCTTTTTCCCAGCTTCCCCTAATTTATATGGAGCGGATTTTGTGTTAATACGGAGAGCTTTTATCAAAATGAGCTATTCATTTGGTGGTTGTATCGATCAGAGG